GAGCAAAACCGTCAAGGCCACCGTCCCACTCAAACGCCGACATTTTCGAGTCGTACACCGGCTTGCCCTCCGGCGGAATATTCCGGGCCGACATCCAGGATCTCATGGCCTCCATAGTCAAACTCCTGAACGACAACGGTGGCGCACTCACGGTCAACATCTACCCATTTCTTAGCCAGTTACGTTCTACGACCCCAATTTCCCGATGGACTACGCGTTCTTCGACGGCACACCGTCGCCGTTAGTTGACGGCAGCGCCGTCTACACGAACGCGCTGGATGGGAACCTAGACACCCTCGTATGGGCCCTGGAGAAGAACGGCTTCCCGTCGCTTCCGATCATCGTCGGCGAAGTCGGCTGGCCAACCGACGGCGATCCCAAAGCCAATCCAACGCTCGCACGTAAATTCAACCAGGGCTTAATCAACAAAATCAAACAGGGCAAAGGCACGCCGAAACGGCAAACTCTCCCGGATATTTATATCTTTTCGTTAATCGACGAAGACGCAAAGGGAATCGAGCCCGGAAACTTCGAGCGCCACTGGGGTTTGTTCAACCTCGACGGCACCGTGAAATACCCGGTCGATTTGGGGGGCGGGAAGAATCTTACGGGGGCGAAGGGGGTCCAGTATTTGCCACGACAGTGGTGCGTGATGGACCCGAACGCCAGCGTGTCCGACCCAAACCTGGATCCGAGCGTAAAATACGCATGCACGCACGTGGATTGCACGAGTCTTACGTACGGATCGTCGTGTTCGGGTCTGGATGCTAGAGGCACAGCTTCGTATGCGTTCAATAAGTATTTCCAGACCATGAACCAGCAGAGTGGGAGATGTGAGCAGTTCCATAATTTGTCGGTTATTACGAAAACGGATCCGGGTTCTCAGGGCGGGTCGTGCTGGTTCGAGATTATGGTGGATCCGAAAATGAACGATCAGGCGAGTGGGCACGACGACAAAAGCTCCGGGGATTCATCATCTGCCGGAAAGATGAGTTGGCCGGTTTTTTGTGGACTGGTGCTGGTTTTGAGTGGTTACAATTTTGGCTTCTAATTAATTAATCTCCCTTACCAGATTTTGTATTTTTCTAGTTTTTTTTTTTTGTTTTATAATCCAATTTTGTAATCCCTTAGGTTAAAAATTTCATTTGCTGAGTTGTATGCTAAAAAAAGTATGGTTACAATTTTATTGATACTATTTTGACCTTTACTATGATTTCGACCATTTTCTAATTTGATTTTTGCAACATTCAAATCAAGAAAATTGTAATTATTTGAGTTAGTTTTCTAATTCAACTTGAATCAGTTGATTTGGATTTGTCGGGTGAAAAAGTTACGTAATAGTAAGTTACATTTTGAATTTTGGATAACATAAAACTTCAAATTTGTAGGCAATGTTTATTGATTAATCCTTTCTCATCTTTTTTATAATTTAATTTGTATGATAAAGTTAACTTAAAGAACTATAAACTATAAATTATGTATTATAAGTTTTACGAAATTTAGACTTGAATATGAGTTTGACAAAATATATTATATTATAAACAACTTTTATCATTTGAAGTTTGACAAAATATGGGGAAAACTAAGGGAAAATTGACGCTTTACATCCTTAAATTACATGCCATTGACACTTTACACCCTTAAATTGAAAAATTGACATAATTTACCCTTCAATCACATTTTCTTGGCACTTTGCACTCTAATTGGAGGGTGCATTCTATCATTATTTCCAAATTTAAGGGTGCAAACTGCAAAGTTTCAATTTTTCAAAACAAAGGGAACTTCCAAAAATATCAACCAGAAAAAAGAAAATATTATTTTATTTCCCGCATTAGGATTTAATTCGTTTTGTAACTCGAAACTTAAGATATTTCGTATATCAATGCCTTGTGAAAAAACATTATTCAAAAATATATTCCAATTTTTTATTATTATTTTATTATTTTTTTTATAAATTGATTCCACTTCTGCTGCTGTTCATATAACTACGGAACTGTATTTGGAAAAATTCAAACTCTTTTATCAATTCCGTCGAACATAAATTCAATTTGTCGATCCCTCCGTTTTGGGGGTTTTTTCTATGGCGGCGGCGGCGGCAAATTTCATCAGTGGGCAAAGGGATTTGCAGATGTCGTCTCTGAGAAGGCTTTCCGGCAACGCCTCTACTTCATCTGCCATTGACGTAAGCAACGCAAGGTTATTTAACAGCAGGTTCAGGCTCAAGGGTTGCTCCTCCGAAAATCATCGAAGTAATTTGCGGAGTAATAATCATTCGAAGAACGAATTGCAGAGAGCGAGGGCGTGCGGCCCTTCCCCCTCGCAGCTACTGTGCGATTCTAGGGATTTCAATGTTGAAGGTGCTGCTGATAGAGGAAGTTGTAACGGAGTTCCCCACCGCCCCTTGACGGAGAAAATCACTGTTGCAGTTGATGTTGATGAAGGTATTTGATTTTTACTTGGTACTGTTTTTTAGGGTTGTTTTGTCATGTGTTTGAAAATGGTTGGCAGGATTTATTTATTTATGGATGTTGAAATGCTTATTTGTGTTTGAGTGATCCTGTTTATGTTTATATATGCTTTGCCTGTTATTTTGTGGACAGTTCTTGGGAAGTTTGTATCGGCCGTCAATCGGTTCATCGCAGACCGCTACTCTTTAAATCATTCGATTTCCGAGTACCATGTCTATGAATTTTTCAAGGTACAACCTATGAACCTATTAGCCTTTACCAGAATGATATTGTACACACATTAGAATACATGAATGCATCAATTGTTGTTTCCGGTTTTATAGTTTTCGTGATGGGAAATGCTTATCGTTTCTCGTATCTTTTCGGCTCTATTTTCCTTGTGTTTGTTCAGTAGATTTGGAGGTTTTCTTACTCCAACACTTACAATCTACCATGAACCGAT